GAGAGAAGCTCAATATTTTGTCTACCTTTAAGTATTTTGTTGATGAAACCTGGTCTGGTGTGGGTCTTTTATTTTTAATTTCTTTCAATTAGCTGCCTGTTGGTCCAATCTCAAGTCTGCTTCCTGCCAACAAAATCTTCTGTTACATTACCTTTCCCCCTTCAGCTGCCAATTGTTATGCTTCCCTGACAAAGACTTTCTTAAAGACTCACCTTCTCAACATTTAAGATGTTTTTTTTTTAAGATGTTAATTTACATCTGTGTAGTCAGAGATTTATGTGCCCTACAACCATTATTTCCAAGCTAGTGAACTAGCATGCAAAGTCAACTTCTAAACAGACTTTTAGTTTAGAAGATATTTTACTGATGTCAGTAGCAGCACTGGGCATATTAATAGCAAAATAAATGAGGCACATTAATAACAAGTGCTTTCGTGCAGATGCTTTCATGGCACACTGCTTTCAGAATATGCACAAGTATTTGGAAGGAAACATGTTAAGACATCAGCACACACATGAAGTGAACTGTGAGTATCATGTTTAGCTTGGAAATGAATGTGCATCCAGCACAGCATCTCTTGGATACCTGGCAGGAGAGGAGACTGAAAAATATACTGTGCCAAGGTTCAATTTACCCAGCTCAGGTAGTACTAGCTCTGCAGATACAGTGGTGCTGACCTCAGGCTGCAATGCTTTAAAAAATACCATACCAAGTGCCATGCTAGTGGGCTTCATTGAGCTTCTAGAGAGAGGGGGGAGTCAAAATCCCTCAGCACAGGATTGATTTGAGCACCTCGTAGAGATAATTCACACTTCAGTACTGTTAACCATTTCATTTTACTTGTGAAAGAAGGGAGGGCAGATAACAAATCACATTGGAAACTACATTCATGCTTCCAGCAAATCCAAAAAATCGAGAATGGGAAGGTGTATTCAGCTGAAGAAAATGGAAAAGTGCATACTAGGAAATCAAATCTAAAAATCATAATATGTACAGACAAAAGAGAATTTTAAGGATGAAATTACAAAGAGGAAAGATAGTTTTCCAAAAGAGTGTATCAGTAGTATCATGTCTGCCAAACAATTTCTAGAAGCAGCAAATGGTCACTATTTATCAGAGCTCTGAAATCCATTATTTCAGTGTTTGATAGGAAGCAAGAGAAATGGCACACTGGATCATTTCTTTCCAGGAGAAAAGTCACATTGACTGCCTCAAACTGAAACGTAACCAAGGAAGGTTTAAGATTAGGAAAGAATAGATACTAATATTCAGTAAGAGCCTGAAAACAAATCACACATGAAAGCACTCCTTGCTTAAACAAGCTTCAGTGGAGATACATAGATTTGTGAGCCAAGTTTTTCTTTAAAAGATTAATGGAAAACTCAGTAAAGTTCAGATCAGTAAATCTCATTTTTATATCAAGTGAATTGATAAAAACTGTAATAAAGGAAGAAGTAGCAGACACACAAATAAATACAACATAGAAGAACCGAGACACAAAGTCATGTCTCTTGAGGGTATTCAAGTTCGCTGAAAGAGTTGATAAATGGGAATGAGGCCACTTCGATTGATCTGCTCCACTTGGATTTCCAATAAGGTTCTGACAAGGCTTCTCACCAAAGGCTCTTAAAAAAATTAAATTGTATGGAGCTACAAGCTATGTCCTTTACAGAATTAATGAGTTATTAAAAGGTAGAACATAAAGCATAAGAATAGTCATTTTTCATAACACATCAAAACTGTGGGCCTGTATGAGCCCTCTTCAGCATATTAAAAGCTCAAGAAAGCAATGAATAGTAAGACGGCAAAGTTTCTTCGTGATTCAAAATTATTCAGAGTACTAAAAATGAAAACTGACTGTGACAAGTAGCAGAATGATCTCACAATACTGTGCGACGAGACAATCAATCAATGTCAGATGAATTTTAAAGTAAAGCATTTGGGGAAGAACTAGTCTAAATATGTATATATTAATGTACTTTAAATTATCTCTCAGCATTCAGGGAAGATCTCAGAGTCATTAAGGATAGTTCTTTGAAAATGTCAGCTCATGGCTTAGAGGCACCAAGAAGGAAAATAGACTGGTAGGAATCATTAAGAAGGGATGAAAAACAAAAGCAAAATCAGTATTATACCGCCTTATAAGCCTACAGTGTATCCACAGCTTGAATGCTGCATGCATTTTTAGGCAACCCACCTCTAAATGGATACAGCAGCAGATGAAAGCCAGTAGAGGCAACCAAGTGCTTATTCCTTATGCCTGAGTTTGATCTGGTACTTTTTCAGTTCTGTAATTTCAAGCAGTAGTTTTAAGTCTAGGAAAAGCAAGTAGATTTTTCTCTCTGACCACAATCTATAACTAAAATGTCAAAACTTGTTGCCAAGGATGCTTTGGAGAGAAAAAGAAATCTGTGGAAGAATGACCTATAAATGCCAGAAAAAAGCATGACTAATACAACAAACTTGGTCAGTATGTCAATAGCCACAGACTGCCAGAATTTGGGAAAGTGATGGGAGAAGTGTAACTGCGTACTTGCTCCACTCATTTGTTATTTTTCACAGATACCTACTCCTGGACTATATTAAAAACAAGATAGAAGTCTACATGAATCACTGACCACCCTTAGCAAGGGACATCCTTGTGTTTCTCATCTGCAAAGTGGTTTACAAGAAGAAACACGAAGAGAACAGAGGTGGACATCATAAAAAAAGAACAGACCTGAAATCTCTCACATTCCCATTCTATCATGTCACCACACTCTACCTGCCTCTGCTTTTTCAAGCCTAAATCAATGACTTTTCAACTAGACCTTCACTTTCTCAGTTATTGAAGACTACATTAGAAGTTACATTTCAGATATGTTAGCACAATGCCATATGTATAGAGATTGAAACTCTAAATGGGACCTCTAAAATGTAACTAAAATATTAATTCAAGTCTGACAAAAAGAAGATTTAGAAGTGGTATCCACTTACAAAATTATCTGCATGTTATTATGCTTACCTGAAGCTACCTATAAAATATCTACATGAAATATGAAAAGAATAGGAACAAATAATTGTTAGCATACTTGTACACAGGTTAAAAGGTCTTACCTTATGGAGGAGATACACCTGAAAATTCAATCATGAGACTTTGTTCCTCTGCATCAACACACATCATCTTGCACTTTTTAACTGGCTAAACTAAAGTAAGGAATCACATTGGACTCAAAAATAGAACAGATAAGAAGATCTGGTACACTGTAGTACATTTTAATGTATATGGGGGTAGAGACTCTTGAGTTAGCCCAGCCTCTTTGGAGTCTGCATCACACTTCAGAATTTTTTAAAAATGTTTGGTTTGACAGAAGAGAATGATGGTGTTTATTTTCTCCCCACAGAACTTCATCCATTCAAGTTCAGCGAAGTCTCAAATGGAATGAAGACAGATTGAGTTGGAAAAGGAAAGGATACCTGTAGAACAGCCAAGGGAAGCTCCAGCTTCAACCTTCATGGAATTTGTTTTGCTCCTCATTTACCTGAATTTGTCAACAGCAACTGTACCATGCTTGTAAGCAGCTCTGCTTGACTTTATAAGAACACGTTGGCAAAAAAGAAACAAATTCTTCCACAGTTTTTTATTACTTTCAGAATGTCATCAGAGTTTCAAATTCAAGCAATCAATGTGAACGAGAATAGACTATAAAAGCAAAGATTATTGCCTCAGAAATAGCTCTGCTTTCCATGCCTTTCAATAATGAAGCAAGAATTTTATGTAAGATACCAGAGCGATCAGCATGGTATAAAGGACAAAGAGACAAATACATAATTAGATATCAGAAAAAAACCCAAACATTTATATACATATTAGATTTTACACATTGCTCAAGAAAGAGCTAGAAAGAGGGCCATCCTGCTATTTTTGCACTCTTAAGTCTACATCTGCAAAGTACGTAGGATCTACCTTTCAAAATCTGAACTTAAAACTTCTGTGCTGCACTGAGAAAATGAAATGCTACTACCAGAAAAAAAACAGTGCAAAAAAGTTAAATGTATTCCTGCAAAAATGCAGTGTGTAAATTGCATGCAGATGAGTTGTCATTTTCTAAGAGCTCATCTTCTCCCATTGGAAAAGCAAAATGTAACTCTAAAGCATGCTGTTCGCAAGCTGTTTATGAGCTATTAAAAAAAACTAGAAGACATACTCTGTAAATTCTATTTTCACCTGTTCCTTGCTGATGAAATACAGCTGAAGACCTACTTTTAAAACACAAAGCTAATTTATTCCTTGCTATGAGCCAGAGAGAAATTCTGGGAGCGTCTTTGATCATGAAGACATATTCTATTGTGAAATATTTGCCAGTTGCTTAGATTAAGAAAGACTGGGGTTTTTTGGTCAAACTCTGTCAATGAAATAAGTTTTCTTTATACTGAACATTTTAAAATGCTTAGTCTTTTTTTTTTTAATTAAAGTTATTACAAATTTACTGCTGTTAGTTTAACTATTTCCTTTTTATTTTTACATTATTATGCATAAGTCAAAATTATACAGAACTCGCCTAGACTGCTAAAACGAATTTACTATTGTAGTCAGTTTAGAAATGCTCAAATAACAGCTATTAAAATTTCCAACTTACAGCACAAGCACTTAAAATAAAAACAACCCAACCTCCAATCCTGCAAACTAAAATCACAGCTAATCTTCAGTGATAGCTGAAACTCCCAATGATCTTAATGGTAATAGAATAAACCATAAAAAAACCAATGTTACTCTCTGCCTGTTCAGATAATGCATGTGGTTTATATTTGAGAACGTTATGCCATGACATAATGTGATAAACTTTTCCTGTTGAATGACTTTCACTAATCTTTCTCAAAACTATACCTGCTTTTTTAATTAATTTCATGGGAGGTTTTACAGACTTGTTCTTTTGAAATAGAATGAAAAATAGTCATTGATCTGTCAACGTTCCCTAAGACAAGGAGAAAAAAATAAAATTGAAAACAACTTTGCCTACCGATGTCCCATTATAGGTTCCTCATGACCTAACCCAGTTTTTAGGAAGGATTCAGCATTCCAACTCATTTAGATCCAGCAACAGTGAGAGGTGGGAGGCTTTAATGGTTCCAAAAATCTGGGATGCACAGAGGATGGGCCACCATTCTCCATCTGCACAAACAGAACAACAGGAAGAGAATATTATAAAAAGCTGTACATCTGCGTGAGTAAACTCGGGCCATATATTAAACAGTCACCTGACAGCTATCCTCGCAGGATATTAATTAGAGACTGAGCTAGAAACAAATATGATAAATGTGCAATTCCAATTCCCTCTCCTTTCAAATGTGGCTTTTATGCTGTATTTGAGGACACAAACATAATAGCACTCTCAAAATATCATTTTACCCCTTTTAATGTAACATTTATTCTGTTATGTTGATTTCGTTCATCTCTGAGCTGGAATTTAACAGTAGATTAGATCACTTTAGAGCTTTTGTTACTATGGTAACACTGCACTGCAGTTATATTTCTTCACCTCCAATCTTGATTTTGAGGTGACTGGTTATATTTATTCCCAGCCTTTACAGGATCTCAGTGTGATGGAAAAGCATTTGGTAGAAGAAAAATGTTAGCATAAGTTCCCACCATAAGGTGGGCAATCCACACTAGTCAACTTGTGTTAAAGGTTAAGTATGCTTCAGGTTAAATGCAGTCACTTAACTTTTGGGGGCTCTAAGTTCTAAATTAAATTATATTACAGATGACCAAAATTTCCACGGGTCACCCTTGGGTCTCTTCTCCTAATGCCTTAGCCTCAGAAATAGTATAATGCTGTGGAAGTACTCTGAAAGCAGATCAGCTCAAGATTCTTTCTTCAAAATATAGGAAAATCAAACATCAAGAAGATGTTGCTGGATGCTCTACAAAACCTCCTTCCTCATGGAAGATGTGCTCCATGCTACAGAGAACATCTGCACTTTTGGGCTGCAAGATATGGAGAAAGTCCTCAGTCCCACAAAGCCCAACCTTCCCAGAAGGATCTCATGCAAAAGGCAAAGTGCTCCTGTGAGGGGAAGATGTTGTTTGGTCACCAAAAATATTCATGAGCACTAAACACTCACAAAAAGAGAGATAGGATTAGCAACCAGGCTTCTTAAAAACATCATCTGACACTGGTAATTTTAAGCTAAGAAGTTGCTCACATAGAATGGCTTAAGCATATGGAGCTTAATCTTCCCAGCCTTCCTCTGCAAAAGGACAATGATTCCTCAGCCAAGGCAGCCCATGTACAGATAGACTTAGTGAACACAATTCTTCTCGGGAGTCAGGAATTTCAGAAAACTGCTAAGGAAGCGTAAGCCTATTTTCTTACAAAACTAGGACTGATGTCATGGATGGAATACAGCAGTTCTATCTGAAAGTGAGAAAAATCTTCACTGTAAGGGTGAAAGAGCACTGGAACAAACTACCCAGAGAGGTTGTGGAGTCCTGCACAACCTGCTGTAGGGAACTGCTGTAGCAGGGAGTTGAACTCAATCATCTCCAGAGGTCTCTCCCAAACCCTACAATTCTGTGATTCTGCATTGTCAGCAATAGTCCCCTCTAGGCATTCTGTTTTTTGGGCTTCCTTTCTTAATGGGAAATTTCAAGAAAAATGTTTGGACAAATTATTGCACAGAGCATTTTTCCCACACTGCTTTTTTTCTGGAATACTTTCGTCATCCTGTGAAAACCAAGTCAACTTCAGACAACTCAGGAATGTGTAAAATACAGCTTACACACAGAGATAAGAGTTTCATTTCTGGAAGCTACATGTCCCAAAATAAATCCTCTTTCCCTGGTAATGCCGGAGCCTCAACTCCCAGTCCTACCTCCTCCATTCTCAAATATTTCTGCATCTCTACGAACTCCCCAGCTACACCCGAAAAGCACAACCAAAAAAACTTTACTGCAGACAGCAGGAAGCATTAATTACTTTTTAATTAGTGACATTACATTAGCCTAATTCTACCCGCAACCACAGGGTGGCGATCACGTTCTTTGCTATCAAATTAATGGCTGATGGATTGCAAGGTCACTTTGAACAAACAAACGGTGCATTTTTCTCAAAGGAGACTTTCTTTTCTAATTCCTTCTAGTGCTGGAGAATTGCAGAATACATCTCATCCCACCTGCACCTCACTGTCTTCACTGTAAATCTAAATCTCAGTTGGTCTTGTTTCCTCTTTCCCACCCTCTAACTATGAGTCCAATGAAAATCATCAGATGATATCATACTAATGTTCACTTCAACCCAGCAATCGTTTTAAGGCTTGCAGGATCTCTCTCGTAAATATCTCTGATTGAATAGAATTGGTAATCACTAAACTGCATACAATAAAAATAACATATAGGCAGCCACAGCAGTAGCTCACTAAAGCTCTACTAGGTCTATCCTTGAGTCAATGAAAGAACTTAATATTTCACCACCTCTTCGATCATTTTTTTATAATATAATTTTACAGAAGAATAGTACCTGAAATGTAAAATTTGCCTGTAAGAAAAATGTACAGGTTTTCTTGTTGGGTTTTTGTTTCTCTGAGCTACTCCTTCCAAAGACAGGAGAGACAAAGATGATAGGAATTCACAAATAAATCAGGAGCAACTGCATGAGATCCAGTTAATTTTGAACAGTACAAACAACAAAAAAAGTAAAAAATAAAATAATTAAAATGCACGATGCAGAGCAGAATAATACCTGTGCTTGCAATTAAGAGAAAGTGGATTTGCTAAGCATTGGACACACCTGTGAGAAAAGGGAACACTTTGGGAATTAAAGCACAGAGGTAATTTCTGTACAAAAAGACAGCTTGAATGGTCTACAGTTGTGTGATCAATTGCACGTTTGGCTGTAAATCTGCTCACTGGCAGACTTGTGTCTGCTTCGTACAGGACCAAGTAAGGACACAGAAGAGAAGAGGAGAATCAGACTCTGCTCTATGCACTCTACCTAAACATTCACAGTTTTCCAATTTTGTTTCAAAATAAAAAATGTATTTGCAACTATACAGACAAATGAAAGTTTACATACAAAGTAGGCCAGGCTGATCCTGATGGAGTGAGATAACCTGTCCAGAATGAAGAAGATTATGCCCTAAAGGAAAAAATTAAAATTGGCAACTTATTTAGATGCAAATATTCTTACATTTATTCCATGCTTTGCTCGGTAGGAAAAAGAGAAATAGTGACTATCTGATCTGTACCGCAGCAGAAAAAGCCAAAACTGTCGAAGGTACATTGGGTTGATGTAGTACTACTGAACAGAAGCCTTTGGCTGTAGAATGGGGGTACATGGGATACAATACTCACATTGGTTCAAGACACCAGAGAATAGCATGATGCATAGAAAATTGTCATTCACTTGGTGCCATACAGTGATACTGTCACAAAACCAGGCAGAAGCAGCATCCTTACCTGGACTTGTTTTGAAGGATCAGATTCACCTTTTGGATGAGCGTTAATGTGCACTTGCTAAGACCTGTCATAGAAAACAATCAGTGCCTTCTATCTATACATGAAACATTTCAGCAGTATTGGTGGAAACTGTCTTCCTAACACCATGGTGTACAGAACCATACATATATCTTTACACTCACAGTGCAGACCCATCCTCCTTTATCAGGTATCACCATTCTTGAGTTTTAGCAAGCATAGTGAGAGGAGGCTGCCATTCAATAGAACAAAGAAAACCTGTCCCCTTGCTGTATCTTCAGAAGAGCTCTGGCTCTCTGGAGGGTCCAGCAGGTGGAAGTGGCTGGAAGTAGGAAGCTTGCTTAATGTGGTGGCTGAATCAGCCAGCATATTGGTGGGGCTAAAAGATCTTTCAAAAAATGCCAGCACAGCAAGGAACTGAGGAAATATCAGAAAAGGTTAGGCTGAGACACTTAAAAAGAATTGTGGATATTTCAAAAGATATTCAGACAAGCACAGATCACAGGTAGTGTGCTAGCCCCGAAAGGAAATTCAGTGAAGTAACTGAGAAACAGAAGAAACAGGAACAAACTTTTATCCATGGTCAACTGTTCTCTACTGCAAATTCAGTTCAACCTGTTCTCAGAATGAGACAGATGCTCCTGAAGAGAAAGATGAACTCCAGACAGAGGTCTGTAATAACTTCAGTAACTGTCGTGCTCCTACAGGGGAGCATGCATGGCAGTTTAAGTTGCAACCGTTGTATCAGACATGCCTTTTCTTTCAGTCTTGCTATCAGTGGGCAGAGTGGGTCTCAAATCCTATCCAGGTGAAGAACCTGAGAACTGAGGGATGGTGCAGGAATACGACTGTGCTACTTCTCCTTCCCCTTGGGAGTGCAGCAGCAGCTTCACATCTCTCCATGATAGCATTCAGGCCAGCAGCACTACCTTACTTGGAAAATGGGAGCAGCTCTTGGATATAAGAGGGTTGTGTCTCAATTAGGCTTCTGGGACTGGAGTTGGTAAAAAATTTGTACTGAAGCATTGAATTAAGCAAAGCAGCCTGGCTGGCAGCCAGAGCCTCCAGCCAGAAGTGAATAGAATCCAATTTGACTTAGAGAAACTTTAGTCACAAGTGACCACTTTGAAGTCTAAGAGGTCAACCATGATTTCCAATCCAAAAAAAAAAAAAAGAAAAAAAAAAGAAAGAAAAAAAGCCAATACTAGCACTAACAGAGGTGCCCAAGTGCCTAAATATTTACCTTGCTTAGCATTTCAGGCTAATGCAGCTCTTTCCCGACTTTCAGAACAATTTTTTTCACTAGAACATTTCTTCTGGTCCAAGTATAAAAAAACAACAAATTATTATCCATGTTTCTTTTCACTGCTGAGTTTGAGTCCCTCATTTTGGTGAGACGAGTATGGCTGGTCTCACACATTTTCCTCATGATGCATTTCATGTTTTATTTTTATAGAAGACTAATTTCTCAGAGCAATTCATAGAGAATTATGTATAGCATGCCAGATCCTCATTTCATGGAAAATGATGGAAGTCAGGATAACTCTGATTTGACCAAGTGAAAAACAAGACAATTTACTGGAGAAGTGGTATAGAAGCAATCTAATATACATTTCACTTTAATCATGTGCTTTTCTGTAGGTAAGTGAAATTCTTAAGATATATGACTACGTAGCACATAAACATTCTGTATATTT